TATGTTTCTTTAAAACCTTTTTTCTCAGCTCGTGTGCATCGTGGGGTAAATCTACGCATACCGTTAGAAAGCTATTTTCCTGTAGGTGTGCAGAATCCCTTTATAAATTTAAATAGGCTCAAAGATAAGCACAAAAAATGAGTTTAAAGATTTGAAAAAAATTAACATGGATCTTATGCGTTGCCATGCTGGTGACGAAATAACAACGAAATATAAACAGAAAATCAAAACAAATGGAAGAAACTCCAATCACATGTTTTATTTACAGTGTGGGGTGAAAATAGAGAAGTGAGTAAGTTTACATTACATATTTTTGGTCGAGTTTCGACCACTGGACGACCTCTCGTACTTATTTAATACGCAAGCAAGTTTTTTGTGACAATTACTCCTCCGAAACTACTGAACCGATTGACATGTTTTTGGTGTCATTGTAAAGAACGTAACGTGAAGTTGTGCAGGAAACTTTCTTTTTAGGGAAATAATTAGAGAGTGAGGCCCTGGGGCCCTTTAAAGTTTCGTATTTCTCCATAAGGATAACATGGGAGATAATTTTTATTTACAGAAACATATGTTTGTTACTTGAAAATTGTCAAAGTCTACTACATAATAATTGCTGTGTATAATGACTCTTAATGTATACCTACTACATTTCAATCAAGGATTGTGTACCTTAAAGTTTACCCATAATGGATCTACCTACTTTATTTTAATGCTGGGAATAGTAAAATTTAGTGGAGAATAAGTTACCATGATTTAGAAAAAATACTGTAATAATTTATGTATTTAAATCACAAATCTTTGACATTATTAATTCATTTGAAACTAAACAGCTGATCGACAAATCAAACAAATCATCTACTTCATGTGAATAATGTTATTACACAAACATAGTTTTTTTTTACCAATAACTTGATTCTTTTTTACTTGTGGGTGTATTTTGAGTTTGCAGTTATGAAAGCACCAAGCCAAGTAACTTTTATCTAATTTTCTTTATAAACTAACAGTATTAATGAATTACTACATGAAGTTGACAAGTCAGGTAATTAATTGTCGGTGTACCAAGGGGAAGAAGAGTGGGTCCTCGAAAACAGACGAATGCAATGACACCCATCTAGAAAATCCAACTGAGTTTTTTTAAATATAGAGGTCAGTGGATTGCCAAGACACAGATTAGACTAATAAAAGGGGGCAGTGGTTTTATTGATGAGGAATATTAATACATCAAAAAGGGCCTCATTAATGGCACAAGGTTCATGTGATCAGAATGGTTAACAACTTAGTAGAATGTAAAGTCTTAACTGGAACAAGTGAGTGGGGACATATTTTGATTTCGAGGATAAAAATTTACCCGTCTGAAACAAACTTACCTTTTAAAATGGAAAGATGCTAATTTCTGTTATCTTTGGCATTTGCAGCATGGTTTTACCCAGACCAATATATATTCGTTACGGAAAATTCTGACCAGGGTAACCTTCCTGAAGGTAACTTTAAGACTAAAATCGTAGTATTCATAAAAGTGTTTTTGTGATAAAAATATTGTTTTTTTTTGTGTTTATTTTTAAAAGTGTCTTTTCTTCAAGCAGCATTTTTATTACCCTCAAAATATGCTACATAGGCCTATTGGTTTGATATGATAAAATGTTTTGTTAAATGTGTTATAAAAATCTTTAAAAATAACTACCCTATAACCTTGCTCGCTGCCTATAACATACTTGAACTTGAACACTAATTAATTTACTAAATATAATACACATACAGTTAGAAAATGCTGGACTGCTTCCCTTCTTTCCTTTATTATTACTGTATTTAATTTTCGACGTCAAGTCAATATATAACACGATGAATTTGTTTTCTAAATTCATAATATATGCTATTTTGCGGGGCATTGAGCCGCACAGGTTCACTAGTGGATAAAACAAACCCTGTACATTTAGATTTATCGTCCTTACGGTTTAGCGGAAACCCTGTCTTGTTTTGATGATTGTGTTTTTCTGTTTAAAATCTCTTTATGGTTAGAGTAAAAATCATTAGTTGTCACGAGCGCTCAAACGTTAAAACATAAAAAATGTCAAAACAAGTTTTAGATGGTACAATTTGATGCAAATATGGCCATAGACTAACCTTGTTTTATATATGATATGGCTTATCTTGTACTATTGAAAGTCTATGATTTCCTTAACTGGTATTTTATAGGCATATGTTACCGTATTGTTTGAGTACAGTAAGTTTATATTACTATATAGTATATACAGGGGTTCATCTAACTCCCAAGTGGTTCCCTTCTGTGAATTTGTTAACATACAGTGAATTTCATGTATGAATCGTAAACAACATTTTTATGCAATGTAGACAGTGTTGTGACCAGCCAAATATCGAAACTGTAGATCAATCCTTAAAAGTCAATCAATTATATTAATTGATCGATCAATTAAAGTCCTGCGTTTCAAAACCTGATGACATAAATTCGACGAGTGTTTAGCTATTCCATAGAGTATACACATTGGGGTTAACCGCGGAGCGGTGGTGGCAGACTCAGTCGAGGTTTTTAATTATAATTTTCATGTTTACATAAACATTCTGACATCAAACCCTCGTGGAGTAAAGTGTAAAATAAGAAAGGTGTTTTGGGATTATTGTGGATTTTATAGTAGTGTACTGAATGCGTCTGCATATAATTTTTTCCTAAGTTTGATTTCACTTCATGTAACGGCCTATGAAGTAAATCTTGACTTGAATAAAGAAGGGAAATGAAGAAACAAACACGTACATCTAAAAGGCGTTAATTAATCATAAATTGGTGCCGGTACCTAAAATTCACACATACTCTACTAATCATGGTTTTGAAATGGTTCACATATCGACTCAAAAGTCATACTTTTTACCATTGATTTTATACAATACTCATGATCAAATTAGTTACAAATACTATTATTGTGTCCAAAGACTTAATTTGTTGCCAAGCTGCCATGATGCTGCATCATGTACGAAACTACAACCAATGTGGGAGGTATATCAGGTCATCAATCTCATCAGTCTCACAGACAGATTTGGTTGGCAAACTGACAAGATGCTGTGTCATGTGACGAATCAACAACTATCCCTGGATATCAGGTCATCAACCTCATCAGTCTCACAGAAAACGTTGGTTGGCAAACTAACAAGATGCTGTGTCATGTGACGAATCAACAACTATCCTTGATATCAGGACATCAACCTCATCAGTCTCACATATAACGTTGGTTGGCAAACTGACAAGATGCTGTGTCATGTGACGAATCAACGACTATCCCTGGATATCAGGTCATCAACCTCATCATAGTCTCACAGATAACGTTGGTTGACAAACTGACAACATGCTGTGTCATGTGGCGAATCAACAACTATCCCTGATATTAGGTCATCAACCTCATCAGTCTCACAGATAACGTTGGTTGGCAAACTGAAAAGATGCTGTGTCATGTGACGAATCAACAACTATCCCTGGATATCAGGTCATCAACCTCATCATAGTCTCACAGATAACTTTGGTTGGCAAACTGACAAGATGGTGTGTCATGTGACGAATCAACAACTATCGCTGGATATCAGGTCATCAACCTAATCATCGTCTCACAGATAACGTTGGTTGGCAAACTGACAAGATGCTGTGTCATGTGACGAATCAACAACTACCCCTGGATATCAGGTCATCAACCTCATCATAGTCTCACAGATAACGTTGTTTGGCAAACTGACAAGATGCTATATCATGTGATGAATCAACAACTATCCCTGGATATCAGGTCATCAACCTCATCATAGTCTCACAGATAACGTTGGTTGGCAAACTGACAAGATGCTATATCATGTGATGAATCAACAACTATCCCTGGATATCAGGTCATCAACCTAATCATCGTCTCACAGATAACGTTGGTTGGCAAACTGACAAGATGCTTTGTCATGTGACGAATCAACAACTACCCCTGGATATCAGGTCATCAACCTCATCATAGTCTCACAGATAACGTTGGTTGGCAAACTGACAAGATGGTGTGTCATGTGACGAATCAACAACTACCCCTGGATATCAGGTCATCAACCTCATCATAGTCTCACAGATAACGTTGGTCGGCAAACTGACAAGATGCTATGTCATGTGACGAATCAACAACTACCCCTGGATATCAGGTCATCAACCTCATCATAGTCTCACAGATAACGTTGGTTGACAAACTGACAAGATGCTTTGTCATGTGACGAATCAACAACTACCCCTGGATATCAGGTCATCAACCTCATCATAGTCTCACAGATAACGTTGGTCGGCAAACTGACAAGATGCTATGTCATGTGACGAATCAACAACTACCCCTGGATATCAGGTCATCAACCTCATCAGTCTCACAGATAACGTTGGTTGACAAACTGACAAGATGCTTTGTCATGTGACGAATCAACAACTACCCCTGGATATCAGGTCATCAACCTCATCATAGTCTCACAGATAACGTTGGTTGACAAACTGACAAGATGCTTTGTCATGTGACGAATCAACAACTACCCCTGGATATCAGGTCATCAACCTCATCATAGTCTCACAGATAACGTTGGTTGGCAAACTGACAAGATGGTGTGTCATGTGACGAATCAACAACTATCCTTTATATTAGGTCATCAACCTCATTAGTCTCACAGACAGAGTGAATGGCAAACTGACAAGATGCTGTGTCAAATGACGAATCAACAACTATCCTTGATATCAGGTCATCAACCTCATAGGTGTTTTTATGAGACGAGACATTAACCAAAATTTATTCATAATAATAATTTCTAGACTATTTTCTTTATTGGACAAATATCAAAACCACATTATAATCCTGTATATTTTTATACGTTTTGTGTCCCAATATTTCGTTTGTTCTGAGTTAGTTTCTGGTGAGTTAACATAATCTACGGTCTTACCCTTAATATAAACCAATTCATTTGCATTCGATTATTCCAAGGGATCACACACTTACCTAGATAATTGGAATCCAGTAATTCATCTTATTCGTTAATCGATTATCAATTGGAACAAATCACAACACTGACACAATTAGGTGCCCTGAGACCGACGAAACACAAACAAAATACGTTCGATTAAGTGATTCATTAGATTAGGATTAGATTCCGAGACAACCGAGGATATACGTCACCTCACAACCCTCAGCTCGGCTACTGCCCAGTGCCGGGGCCGGATCAAAACATCCGACTCTGTTGTTGATGACAATCTTAGTTCGCAAATTTTCCGCCAGAGCTCAATCCGCTTCCGAGTTTTGTTTGCGTCTCAAAGAGTGTGAGAAGTTATGGTGTTTGCGCCTGTGCGCGGGAACGTATGCAATTGGTCACCATCGCCGTATTGATTCCTCCTCAACCCCCGCACTACTACTCGTCTCGCAAACATTTTCTCTGCCACTAGCAGTTGAAGAAACATTGGCCCAATTAATTTTCACAAAGACTAGAGGTAAAGTAGGTCATGTTTTCGTGTGCTGAGGCATAATGGGTGCTAATTGTTACTTCTCTGGGGTTTGTGATTTTTTAATACATTTTACCCATAATTGAGGGTTGACAAATTTAAAAATACAAGCTATTTTAAGTTGTAAGATTACAATTTATAAAATTAAATTTGTATATTAAATTATTGTTTAATTTTAATCTATTATTAACTAATGCCACTTATATAAAATTGAATCAAAATATTTGTATACATTTTGATTTGAAAGGTGAAAGGTGTAAATGCCATTTTGATAGGAAAAGGGAGAATTTTGTATATTTTTCTCTCTTTTAATTTCGACTGGTTATTGCTTTGTTACTATGAATAGTATTTTATAAATTAAACTACTTCAAGATGGTTTAAAAATTTGGTTTAAGTAAACAAGAATATAATTTAACCGGCCTAATATTATTTTGTAAACATTTAGTTCCATTATATATATAGTACCTGGGGACCGAGCTTTGCTCGGGGAAAATCATTAGTTCACTCTGAAAGCACCTTAGTATTGGAGATGCATAAATCCATTCCCAAACTCCACACGGCTCGCCTTCACCACCATTTCCTACGTCATGGACCTGTTTCCCTCCATTCCCATTGCATTTAAAGATTGCAAATACCTTAATCTAATCGTCATAAACAGTTCCCACACTCCGGACTACTCGCCTTGACTACTTCCTTCACCACTTCCTACGTCGCGGACCTGTTTCCCTCCCTTTCCATAGCATTTTAGGATTGCAAATACTTTAATCTAATCATCATAAACAATTCCCACACTCCGGACTACTCGCCTTGACTACTTCCTTCACCACTTCCTACGTCGCGGACCTGTTTCCCTCCCTTCCCATTGCATTTTAGGATTGCAAATACCTTAATCTAATCGCCATAAACAGTTCTCACACTCCGGACAGCTCGCCTTGACTACTTCCTTCACCACTTCCTACGTCGCGGACCTGTTTCCCTCCCTTCCCATAACATTTTAGGATTGCCCATACCCTTATCTAATCGTCATAAACAGTTCCCACACCCAGGACAGCTCGCCTTGACTACTTCCTTCACCACTTCCTATGTCGCGGACCTGTTTTCCTTCCTTTCCATAGCACTTTAAGATTGCGGACACCTTAATCTAATCGTCATAAACAGTTCCCACACCCAGGACAGCTCGCCTTGACTACTTCCTTCACCACTTCCTATGTCGCGGACCTGTTTTCCTTCCTTTCCATAGCATTTTAAGATTGCGGACACCTTAATCTAATCGTCATAAAAAGTTCCCACACTATAGACTACTCGCCTTGACTACTTCCTTCACCACTTCCTACGTCGCGGACCTGTTTTCCTTCCTTCCCATAGCATTTTAGGATTGCAGATACCCTAATCTTATCGTCATAAACATTCCCCACACTCCGGACTGATCGCCTTCACTACTTCCTTCATCACTTCCTACGTCACGGACCTGTTTCCCTCTATTCCCATAGCATTTTATGATTGCCTTTGTTACTTCCTTCACCACTTCCTACGTCGCGGAGCTGTTTCCCTCCCTTCCCATAGCATTTTAGGATTGCCCATACCCTTATCTAATCGTCATAAACAGTTCCCACACTCCGGACAGCTCGCCTTACTCGCCTTGACTACTTCCTTCACCACTTCCTACGTCGCGGACCTGTTTTCCTTCCTTCCCATAGCATTTTAGGATTGCAGATACCCTAATCTTATCGTCATAAACATTCCCCACACTCCGGACTGATCGCCTTCACTACTTCCTTCATCACTTCCTACGTCACGGACCTGTTTCCCTCTATTCCCATAGCATTTTATGATTGCCTTTGTTACTTCCTTCACCACTTCCTACGTCGCGGATCTGTTTCCCTCCCTTCCCATAGCATTTTAGGATTGCCCATACCCTTATCTAATCGTCATAAACAGTTCCCACACTCCGGACAGCTCGCCTTGACTACTTCCTTCACCACTTTCTACGTCGCGGACCTGTTTCCCTCCCTTCCCATAGCATTTTAGGATTGCCCATATCCTTATCTAATCGTCATAAACAGTTCCCACATTCCGGACAGCTCGCCTTGACTACTTCCTTCACCACTTCCTACGTAGCGGACCTGTTTCCCTCCCTTCCCGTAGCATTTTAGGATTGCCCATACCCTTATCTAATCGTCATAAACAGTTCCCACACTCCGGACAGCTCGCCTTGACTACTTCCTTCACCACTTCCTATGTCGCGGACCTGTTTTCCTTCCTTTCCATAGCATTTTAAGATTGCGGACACCTTAATCTAATCGTCATAAACAGTTCCCACAATCCGGACTACTCGCCTTGACTACTTCCTTCACCACTTCCTACGTCGCGGACCTGTTTTCCTTCCTTCCCATAGCATTTTAGGATTGCAGATACCCTAATCTTATCGTCATAAACATTCCCCACACTCCGGACTGCTCGCCTTCACTACTTCCTTCATCACTCCCTACGTCACGGACCTGTTTCCCTCTATTCCCATAGCATTTTATGATTGCCTTTATTACTTCCTTCACCACTTCCTATGTCGCGGACCTGTTTCCTTCCCTTCCCATAGCATTTTAGGATTGCAGATACCTTAATCTAATCTAATCGTCATAAACAGATCCCAGACTTCGCACTGCTGCCCTTGACTACAATCATAGATAAAACCATAGACTATAAAACATACTCCCTACAATGTATCGAGTAATCTTCAGTATAATCTTTGCTAAATATTATGCTAATAATTATTAAGTGATGTTTTCCTTTTGTACTGTATTTGTAATTTGCTAGTATACTGTGGGTAGTTGGCTTACTATGAACACATGCTACAACTTCAAGTCTTTTGTTTACTTTATCCTTGTTATTTAATTCATCCAACATGGTTACCTAGCAACCCATAAGACTAATGTTAAAAAAATGTGATTTTCAGTTTCATTTTTCTACGTAATTAGATTTTTGTTGGCAGTTCTAACTGCATGAAACTCGTTTTTAGGCCAAAAATAAACTATTTACAAGATTTGAAGAAAATCGTCGGAGCCGTTTTCGAGATCTTTCTGCAAGCAAGCAAGCAAGCAAGCATACAAGCAAACATTGCTCTTATTAGAGTATAGGATATATATATATATATATATTATTCTAATTCCGTAAGGATTTTCTTGTGCACAGCAAAACTCTTTTATTTATGAACCGATTTTGATGATTAAGGTGTCAAATTAAAGGGAATTATCTGCAGAAGTCATGGAATAACACTTGTCACGCTCAGTTCAATGTGCTTTGCTCCATTGGACGTTACAGTTTTCATGTATTTTAAATATACAAGTCAAAATTTGTTAAGATTACCTAACATATGATTCATTTCTTAAAAGTAGACATCTGTCTTCATAAAAATAGCCTGTTTCCCTTCTGTCATTTTAATATTTACTTTTTCTGTTTACCTATCAGTTTACTTTCAAATACAATGATAACTTGAAGTTACAATGAGATGGGATAGTTGATTTATGCAGTTCCATTCATAGAAAGTAAAAACCAGTCTATTACATTATGTGATTGTATTTTATTTTCAGATAATGGTGTGTTTAACGTTTTCATGGACATTTTTATGTGTTGTGTTTTCAAAATTTTAATTTTGATTATCATAAAATTCTACCAAGAAGAAACGATCCCGTGTTTGCGATTCGGCGACTTATTAACGACAGAGATGGTATGATAATAAATTGTGAAAAGTTACCTATGCTGGTTTTTGAAGTTTTTTTTTAATATTGCACGGACAGATGCTGTCACAAAACAGACTATTTTGACTTAAGAGATCTTAGCGTACGTACAGTACAAAACAGATTTAAATTGAAATGGTAGAAAATTCAATAATTATATCACTTTTATGGTCAATGTTTAAAAATATTTCACTTGCTAAAAACATGAGAGCAAATCCAGGGGAATCAATATTTGATGAATATCTTTTACGAATAAGGAATGGCCAAGAGAGCTACCTTAATGGTCTTTGTGAGACATTGATAAGTCTTCCACCACAATATATTAGGAATAAAAATATCATTGACAAAATCTTCAGTGAAGGATTCTCTGAAAATGCTTAAAAAAAGACAAAAATCATGCAATAATTTAACCAAAGAATGAACATGGTGACCAAATTAATAATAAAATAGCTAAGCAACTAAATAATGACAAGTAGAATTTACTACTCAGTGGACACTTTGATTCAAGACGAGGAAGACCGGTTACATGTCCCTTATGAATTTCTCCACACTTTAGCACCAAATGGTTATGTCTCACAAGTTATGTTTATAAAAAGGTGGAATTGTAATTTTACTAAGAAATTTAAATCCATAAAAAGGACAGGTTAATGGAACCAGAATAATGAAGTCTTAGATATGAAAATGATTACCGTACTGCAAGTTCAGCAGGAAAACGAGTACAGTATTATTATTCCAATTAAGTTTAGAATCGTCAGAGGGAAATTTTCTCCTAAAAATTCAAACATCTGCAGTTTCAATGCCAAATTGCTTTTGCCATGACCATCACAAAAATTCAAGGACAGACACTTGAAAAGTTTGTCTTATGTACCATAGCCCTGCTTTCAGCATGGGGGTACCACGCTTTTGATTAACTAAACATAATGGTGAAAAAACAACGGAACCAAGGTCTTCTGGTTAAAGTCGTTATTAGAGTGTTTGCACTGGTGTGCAAATTGCATAGTTCAATAGGGACTAAAACTTGTTGTTACAGAGGCAAAATGAATCAAGTGTAATAAGTCATACCTTTTCAAGATAATTTTTGTTTAGAACAGTAATTAGGGAAATATAAGTAACTAGCTGTGTACCCGTTCCACGCACGGGGATCTTTTAGTATTCAGTTGAAACCTTCATATATAAAAACAGCAGTTGGTTTGCATATTTTCAGATATGCTGGCCAAACTATTATACATAACTTCATTTTATGTTGTTTGTTGTTGTTCCGGATCGGTATGACAATTAATAAAAGGTTAAATTACCTGTGTCCGCCGGTCGATCCTAAAGTATCCTATTACAGGAGATGCATTTCGGCAAAATTAAATCGCATTTATCAGTCCTAATAAAAGGTCTTGAGCTTCCCCATTAGGTGCGTCTTTGAGTTTTTGAAACACATACACGAACTGTACACTTATACACATGACGAATAAAACATAAATACACGGTATACCTACTTTTATTTTTACTATGGACATGTAGACGCTCGTCGGTCTTGTGCCGAGTCTCAACTGAATACGCTCATTTAAAAAAATGTAAGTTTCCCAGCCATATACAACACTGATTCAAAGTCTTTTTCTCGGTTATGAAAACTCAAGAACAGTTTTATACACAAAGAACCTCTATTTTCATTTACGGATACCCTACAAATTATTGCACTTGCGATTAATTAAATCTGTTATGTAAGGAAAAACGTTTTAAATCTTACTTGGTTTGGATTTGCTTTCAAAACGTGATCGGAAATGGTTGCGGTATTTGTAAACAACATTCAATGTAAACATATCAGTGACAGCTAGAAGAAATAATCTTGATTCGAACAGCTGTTCGTTATTTCATAGATGAATATGTGATAATCATTGGGAAAACTTTACAAAAAATCGCACAAAATTGGGTTTTTAAACGTCCGTCATTTTATTTACAAAGTAGTGACGCCATATTTCAATGGCTAAAGACAATCTCACCAATCCAGTGAATACATTAAAATGATTTGTTACTTGATAGGTACTCTCGTTTTTCAGGAGAAGGCCGCGTAAAATGGCTCTTGGGCCGTGACAGACAGGAAGACAGACAGAAATTTAGATGAGACTTGTTTCGGTTTCTTTAATGTATAAAACGTAAAAATAACTCAAAAGTTTATGATTCTGAGCAATGTACAGACAAAACTCTAATTTTATTTATATAGAAGATAACTTACAACATTAGCTAAAAATTTTCAAATAAGAAGTATGGTCAATTTTGGTATCGTTTTACAGGTCTTGACAAAACTAAACAATTAACATAAGTAAAATGTAAATCGGACAATTAATAACAAAATGGTAGCTCAAAATGATTAAGACGATGGTTATTAAAAGTAATTTTTAACTGCCATTTTTTTTATAGTAGTCCGATTTCTTTGATGTTAATTGTTTAGTTTTTTTGTTGTGAGACCTGTAAAATTTTATCAAACCACCTGCCATACTTCCTATTTGAACATTTTGAGCTACCCCCCCCCCTGCCTAAGGGCAAAATTTCCAAAATTAACCATAGTTATTGTAGCCCCTCTAAGGGGGGGGGGGGTGCCAGTTACTTTTCAGCCACCCTGTATATTTATCTAGGTAGCAATGTTAGTGCTCGCCAAGGTTGCTAGTTTGATTCCAAAGGAAGATGGATTTTGGAAACCCATTTATCCCATTTATCATTAGGCCTGGCTACCAATTTGATGATGCCTTCTACAAAATGTCCACATTAGATGGTAAAGATCAAGATTGGTTCATTGCAACAAAATGTAAAAATACCTATGGTGTAGATTAACAAAATAAATAAGTAGCGTTGGGCTGTAAAATTAACCACTGGAGCAAAGGCGACTTACAGGAGCAGTTATTTAAAAATAACAAGCTAACAACCCTTACGTTGATTAATGTTCTAACGACAAAGGCTGCATCTCAGGAAGGTCAAGTGGTACCTGTTGACCTGGAAACTCAACTCGGAACTTGTCTGGGATTTAATTAATACTTGAGTTTACAATTTGTACTTTCGCAAACATTTTCCAAATTGTACGGTATTGACTTTATAGGGAACTAAATTGTGGTTGGATATAGATTACATTAATCATTATAATAAAAAAAAATTATGTTGATGGAGTGGCAGATTGTGGACGAGGGGGGGGGAGGGCTACACCTAGGGACAATACATTTTTGGTGGGTTTTGATCATTGCTTATGAAACCAAAATGATATTCAACGGATAAAGATCGAAATTAACCTTTAACTTGGAGATAGCAAAATAAAATGCTGTGGAACCTTCAATTATGAAGACCCTCAATAACAAGTGTCATTTTCAAATACCATCTACTTCATACTACCATTGACTATGTCAATGGTACTACCGTTACTGCAATTGCAAACCTCAATAAGAAGTCAACCATGATAACAAGTCTTAATTGATCATCCCATCAAAGACTTGTTATCAAAGTTCTGTATGAGATTGATGTAGCAGGGTGGGAAACATATACAAATCTACATCTGGATTTAGTATTGGATGGTTATGTATCTGATGCTAAATGCAATACTGCAGTATTTATAGAGGTTGTAGTTTGCATAATGCAATTTTGTACCCCTTGCATAATATTTGAGAAGGAAGGAAGGACATATAATTCTGTTGCAAATTTATAGCCATGCAGGTAAACTATTATACCAAACCATACATTATTCATTCGTTATTCTGTTTCAGCTACAGAAGCCTGAACCTCTTACATATTTACTTAATAAATAATTCATATAGAAACAGGTTCAATAAATCATCATGTACATTGTTGGCTATAACAGTAATTGTACACATTCATTATTACTTATTACTGACTGAATATATTATCTTGTTAAATAATACATTTACAACCCTCTTACAATCCTTTTGAGGTTACTCCACGATATAAACTTAATATAATGGCCATTTCCATTTTTGACTCTAACAACATACACATTCACAATTTCTTTCGAGACCATTTTGTAGAGCTTAAAAAAAATAATTTTGTATATTGAAGCGTTGTTGTACGTGGGTACATATTTAACCCGTACGAAGAATGGGTACACAGCTAGTTTTAACTAAAATCAATTCAATAAACTCTTATGTGTAGGTACAGTAAATATTAGATATTGAATATATTGGTTTTGCTTATAGACATTTTTGAGGTTTTTTGTTAATTCAATTTTTGTATACAGTCATTGGTTTTTAATTGAACTAGAATGCAATTCAAAATTAACTTTAAGTTATGTCTCTTGTGTTCCACAAAAACTTTATCTAGTAAGAAAGACAAAATGAATACTCCTGAAATATCACATGGCAAGACAATTTCTGAAGACAATTTTAAGACACTTTTTGTCCAGTATATTATGGAGAGTGTGTTTTGAAGTTTTATATTGATTTCTGGTAATTTAATACATTTGAAAACTATTTTAGATAAATAAAACAATTAATTCGTAAAATATGGCTTGTCTTGGGGTAGTTAAAGAGTAATTACACTCTGTACATTATTTCAAAATAAGATAAAAATATCAGTGCACCCAAATATAACCCAACATGAAACACTTCAAAACAATGGGAAAAGTTGTCTAATTACAACACAAAGACAATATTAGCAGCAAGTCATACTTAGTTTACGGTTCATTATTGGGTCACTACTTGGAAACAAAACACAATATTGTAAATAGTAAACATATGACTTGGTAAGGACTTACATCAGCGATTGTGAATCGCAAGGTAAGAACTTCAGTCCCTTGCTAGATGCTGATATTGCACTACTGAATATATTTTGATCAGCACCTTTTACTCCCAGGAATATGAATGTAATTTTCGTGGTAGCTATTTCTATATCTTCAGTATCAGGTAAACTTTTTAATTAATTTAAATATCTATATTACTTTTAATTTTATTTGGTACTAGTTGTTACCCACGGGCTTCACCCCGTTTGACTTCATAAGTATTAATAAAACCAAAGATTACATATGCGTAATCTTTGATAAAACTATTAAATGGTTAGGTTAAGCTGAAATAAACAAAACAGAATACAGTAATACAAACAAATGATTTTAATCTTACTAATGTGTGTTTGAATTGGTTTGAAGTTCAATCACGCATAAACCACTGGACGGATTGGGCTGAAATTTGGCATGATGATAGCTTACATTCCCGATTAACATATAGGCATATTCTTATCTCAAAAATCCTTTTGGGCTCCACCCCAGTGGCTCTGTAATTCCCCAAGTTAACCTTATGAGTATTCATATTTTTTGGGAATTAAAGAATTTAGTCAGCTGTTTCAACTAAAAAGGTTGGTTCTATGATATGGAAAAGCATTAAAATGTTATAAGATTTACCAACAGGGTGCAGCACTACCTATATTTTTTTGCATTTATGAAAACAGCTAATTTGAACTAAGCAGCAACAAAAAACTGTGATTCACAATGAGAACTGTCAAAGTAGGATTGTTTACAGTTATGTTTATGTTTTTCATTTCATGAATAGTTTGTGATATTTTACGAATTGTTGATAATTTATTTTTCTTTATTGTTTAGGTGAAGTGTAACTGCAATAAGCATTTCATACTTATATTCCAACCCCGTACGAAGGACGGGTACTCTGCTAGTTAGGTAATAAATTGAAAGAAAACATACAAATGAATACAGCTGAGGTATTTTTAACATTAGGTATATGGAAAGTTCCCTTTGGAAAGAAATTACGACCTTATAGGGCAATTTAAGAAATAACGGATAGTTTTGCGCAAGGTTTCTTGTCATGACGAACATTTTAAGTATATGGTTTATGGGGGTGTGACTTGTAGTTTTCTCACAAGTTCATGGGTACTTTTGGCTTTATACTTTTGGCTTTATACAAGTATATAGATAACTAATAATTTTGAATCATTTGTTAAAGGAAAAATTCAGCGTTAATTTGATTCAATGAGAATAACTTGTTTAAGAGTGTAGTAGTTTACAAATTCCTAATATAACCAATATTCTTGTTCAAAACAGGTTTAATAGATTCATACTTACCAACGAGATATGAAGACGTAGTTTGCGCCTGTGGTGTGGGATACAATGCAACGTTGTCTGCGTACTTCCCAGTGTTTGACTCTGACGACATAGCAGATTACACTGACAGGGCTGGGACTAAGCTGCATTCACTACAGGTACTCAAAGTTTTTCCCCCTTTAAAAAGTAAAGCCGCGTTTACACCAGAGTTATTACAAATATGTTATCAACTTTTTATGCTATTAACATTTTGTTTGTCTTGTAACTTTTGTTATTAACATTTTACCACTTCCACATCAGTTCCCACGACAATGTCTGTTAAGTGAGTACTAAGTAAGCAGCATATTTTCTTGCTGCAGATCCCTGTTTGATTTTGACGAAGCAGAGGAAACCAAGACCAAGAGGAATCTGGGTTAAGCCTTTCCTTAAGGCAAGAACTAGATATAGTGGAAGTGACATGTTTCAAGATTTAAAAGATGAGACAAAGATTCTTTGTCGGGTGAGTTAAGGTGTGACGGGAGCTTCTAGAACTTCCTACGAATTACTATTTTGACTTTTACTATTTGATTAAAAACATGTTGGGTCAGCAAATTTCCAAACAGAGCACAAAGAATTGGAAAACAATAAGGAAAAGTCAGCAGTTAACATTTTTGGATGCTAATAACATCCTAAATGTGCGGTAACTTAACAATTGTAATAACAAATGTAATTAACATTCTCGGAAGATCAAAGAATGTTATTGACTCTTGGTGGGTAACAAAATTTTGTTAGAAACGCAGGATTTTTGTTAATAACACAAAATGTTACTGACAAATTAGACGCGTTTTTAATATTAATAACAAATATCAACTCCAGTGTAAACGAGGCTTAAGCTTCAATTTCCAATATATCGGATGTAAGACTAACCTAACCTAATTACCAATTACAAGTATCTATCTGATGAACTTAACAAAACAGCAGAAAGCTACTCCTGATGTCCGCTGCGACCTGAGACTCAAGTCTAGAAGCACTACCCTTGTGCTTTAAGTTGACAAGTGCTGTTACTATGGTAGACTGTTAAGTCTGATCAATGGTCAAACAGTTTAAGGTGTTGTTTTTCTGGTTAGTAAACAAGACTACAGATTGAGGGTTTAATTTAATTGAATCTTGCCTCAGTCAGGTAACTCAAGAGGGGTTATTCTATTCTTGGCAGAGGCACAAAAAAAAAAACTGCTGCGTTTTACAACTTAAGTAGTTGATGGGATGGGTGAGCTATTTAACCCCAAAGCAGGCACTATGCTACATTTTGGGTATACTTCTTTTAAAGTTATTATATGTTCAAAGGAGAGAAAATTTAATATAAATGGGCATAACTAAATCATCTTCTCTTTAAAAACATTATTCTATTACCAAAAATATTTTTTAAATTTATTCAGTCAAAACTACATTTTTAGGCTTTTATGCTTCAATTTCAACCTTCAGAGGAACCTCTTTCGAGAGGAATAGTATAGAGTTTGCATAGCAAGTAAAATTTCAAGTTTTTACTCAAACCATTTTATTGGTTCCTGAACTTTGGCTACTTACTATATATTTACGCTAAAGGGTCTGTGGACAGATGAAAGCATTTAAAAATACCCTAAAAGGAAAATTAGATTCCAGTAAATTCAGGATTCGAAAATTGGGTGCCTTACAACTTTTATCATTTCTACCTATTTGTATAGTAAAAATAAATGTTTATAGTAGGGAAATCTTTGTCAACTTTTCAAAATCAGAAATTTTCGTCTTTGATGATTTTTATATTTACAGGAATTTTTGGATGGTAGATCACCTTATGTAACAGCATCCATGGACCGAGGGTTAAATTTACCATATGGAACGGCACTTTGTATACCTGAACTGAACAGACATTACAGACGCCGTATAAATATTGAGGTAAGTCTGCATTCTATAAAATGTTCTAAGTATTGTTTGAGAGAAATAATTTATAAGAGAAGCACTAGATGAGTTTAATACAGTCAAAAACAAATTATAAGATGTCTGATTCTGATTGTTATAAAAGGAGAACATTTAACAAAAAAAGTTGTCCTTTGGTCAAGCTAAACAAATTTATGTGTTGTGGTTTATTTGACCAAAAGTATTTGGAGAAGGTTTTAACAAAGATATATTTTGTAGGTGCGGGACACTCATGCAGATCTTGATGGCTTTGGCACCTCAAAAGTTGTCATTTGTGTTCGATCAGTTGCTGATAGTTATGACCTTGCGGTAAATAGACCTGTTAGTCTCATAATTGAAAAATAAATGTTTTACAGCATATTTTATTTCTTATTCTCTCACTGTGAACCCCTTTAGTACATACATATATGAAAATGTTATACATATCAATGGTACAGAGTTTTGGACATCTCTTTCATGGAAACTTTTGTTTTAATATTTTCCCAACCCAAGAAATTGGCTCTCCTTTCTGATATCTAACTCTGTTACTCTATATTTTGTTTTAGATTATATTTATACGACTTCAATGAACAATGATAAATATTTCAAGGAAAACATGAATGAAATACAAGTCAGGGTTAAATTAGGGAAGGAATTTTTATTTTATATATTTTTGGAATTTTCTCCATAACCATTAGGTGTTCTCCATAACAATGTTACAATATACTAATTGCTTTTTTAAGCTTTACAACATGGTTTAGAAAGAAATTACAAAATGTTTTGCTTTGAGGGTCAAAAATAGGAAAAACAAATTTCACCCTCATTAAATCCTGTTCCCATAGTCCGATAATGGTGGTTTGCGAACTACTTTGAATAAACATTGGATTATAGGTTCACACAAAATTTTATGAAAATTGGATGAATTTACAGTATCTTGTTCTCGTAATAACAGACGGGTTAGATTAGAACGATTGGTATTTATGGCCTCTGGCGACATCAAAACGAAAAAGTAAATCGGTTCCTGGTCTAAAAACTGCCTGCAGATACCCACATACCAAACTTCATGAAAATCGGACAAAATGTGTAACTTAGTCTGTAGTTTTGTTTGTACACATCCACCCACACACAATTTTAATGTCAAGCTAACTGGAGAATGTATAATTGCCAGTTTGCTGAGCTGATGCAGTTATATTTGCCTTTCAAGAATGTTGTGAGCAATGTTGTTCAATTTGACCATTTTGTAAACTTGCTTTACTCGCTTTTCTTTAAAAAAAAATAAAAAAAATGTACTAGCCAATTTAATAACACCTTCAAATTTAGCACACAAAATTGCTAAGGTTCCCAATAAAGTAGTACATATTGTTATCCAAAAAGACATTATATCAGCAGTGCATTTACTCAGTATTATAATATTTCACAAATAAAACGCAAGACAATGGGTTGAAAAATAGCCAAATCTAACAAAAAAGTGTATTTAAATCAACAATTTTTTTACAAAATATGGTAAAAAAGAATACTTATTTCACTTAATCTAACACTCCACACAGTGGATATACAAGACTAATTTACGTATGGCAAAGAAAATATTTTGTTCAAGTCAGGATTGTCATTGACTAAGGATACTGATATGGATACATTTCACATTTATATCCATAGTCAATGATATTGCATTGTGATTGTGATTAATTAATAAGTTGAATATAAAAATAATATGGCGGTAAAATGACACATGTAATTAGAAAATTAACTAATAAAATACACAAATTAGTCCAGTGAATAGAGGTATGTTAACTTACAAACGGTCCGGTAAGTCTAAATTTTTTATATGTTGTCTAGTATGATGGTAAGTAGGTGTTTAAAATGAAAAATGCACAATTCTCCCCCCTCCAATATGGCGGCGGGTGCGGAGAGGGGAGAATTGTGCATTTTTCATTTTAAACACCTACTTACCATCATCCTAGACAACATATAAAAAATTTAGACTTACCGGACCGTTTGGAAGTAAACCCCACTATTTTTGTCTCTATTTACTGGACTAAATAAAATATTAACAAATTTTAATTAAAAATACTAAGTTAAAAATTACTTCCCTTTTGTACAAGTTCACAGGAAAGAGCATTTTTTCAGTATTGTACTTCTTTTCTTACAGTAACGTATTTACAGCTATGTTTGTGTCCATCTTTTGGAAAAGAAAGTAAGTTTATCAGTTACCATCACGATTTTAGTTTGTTAAAAATGTTGAATTTTACAAACATTGTAAAATTATTGTAGGCCTACTGTATTTTAAATTAAGTAAAAATACATTTGCCTTTACATAAAAAATATTTGGAGGTTGTTTAGTACGGGATGTGGTCATGAATTGAAGCACATTAAAATGTTACATTACTAAAATATCTATCAATAGGTAAACAGAAAATCTATTACCCAGTATGACAAAAGATGACTGGAATGTGTTGCTTTTGGTTTTGAAATCATAATATCATACGGAAGTAGCTAACCCCTGACAGGGTAGACTGTGGTGAAAGCGGCCAATTTAAAAATGGTCAGTTAAGAATACTGTAGTTTAGAAAGAAGTTAAGAAACATTACGTTAACAAGTTTGCTATATAGAGAATTGCAGCACAGTAGGACATCCTTCGCTCATATTTAGGTTAAAATCCATACATAGGTGGCGTCCCCATTTTAATTTATAATGATAATGAAAATAAAACTCTTTTAAATGTCCCCATCAAGACCACAAAAAAGTTAAGATAGCGTGGAGAGCAAGTACCAAAATGTCTTTACTGTATAAATTTCAAAGTGGTAACAATTTTAAGAACAACAAAAAAGGTTTACAAACGTAACAGAACATTAATGAAAATTGTAACACACATCATGACAAATTATTCAAACTCGTTCAACTGAAATAAAAAAGTAGTTCATAACTACAAATGAATTTACCCTCCTACTTGACAAGAAAACTTTAACATAATGAATAAGACTAGATAATATTTATACACTAATGCAATGGAATCAAAAAATTTACATGTTTGGTGCACATCATCTAAAGCGAGGTTTCATTGTCATTTTATTTTCACCTAAATAACTATTTGTCTTAGAACGTCTTAACAATCAAATTTACAATTTAAAATACTACTAAAAAAAGCATTGATTAATTCCTTAAAAAATTTATACAAAATGTTAATCACTTGATATTTTTAATACTACTACACACGGAAACGTGACAAGTTTAACAATACAACTAACTAACAACCTTAGACAAGAACTGTACAGTATTGGCGTTATGTAAATTTCTTTCACAGTTATTAGTGGAACGTAATTCTGGTTCTGCATTTTTTAATTGTGTTTAAAGGTTTAACTGGAGTTCTCATTATCAATATCAATATACCTTATTAAAATGTTTGGAATAACAAATCTGGGAAATTGTATTCACTAAAAACTAAAAATTGATATAATGAATATAAACATGTTTATTTTTGTTAAACAAAAATGTATTATCAATTTCTTGACAACTCCAGTTCAGTGCCAGATTTAGGGTACTGATGGCCATAGGCCAAAAACACCTGAGCGGATCCCGCCCCTTTGGTGAAACTTCTTGCAATCGCAGAGAAATTGTGAACATCTCTCGCTATCACAGGTTATCATCATCGTCCCCTGCGATCGCGGAAAATCGTGAACATCTCCAATGATCATCATCATCCGTGAGTGTAGCAAAATATTAATTTTAGAAAATATAAATTATGGTTTTGTTTTTAACAAGTTTCTGTGTACAAAAAGCTGTGGCCCAAGGCCGCAACCTTGTCAGTAGTGGTAAATCTGGCACTGCTCACATTAATACATGATTTTGAAAAAAAAAATTGTTTTGAAAAATCAAAATGTTGGTGCTGGTGGAGTGTATCAGCCAAGCTTTCATAAGCCTAGACTGGGACGGAGATCACAACTTATATTCCTATAAATGTGAAAATACTACAAAGCCCCGTTCACACGGGGCGAGTTTACAAGCTACACGCTGGCTTTTTTACACGCAGCTAGTAAAATAGCTCAGTGTGAACGACGTACTTGCTCAAAAGCTGCTTGTAAAAAAGCTCTGGAAAAAGTTGACGGTGCCGCTACTTTACACGCCAACTCGCCAGCTTTTGAGCGAGTTGGCGTGTAAAGTAGCCCAGTGTGAAGACAGTTGCTTGTGCTTGTGCGCTTGTTACTCAAAGATGTTGGAGGATTTGGTTCAAGCCAGCTACTGAGCGAGTGGAAAAAGCATCGTGTGAACGACTACAAGCGCACTCGCCGACTTGCCGGCGTCTTTCTACACATCTGCGAGTTGGCGAGTGGACAAGCTCCGTGTGAACGAATACAAGCACACTCGCCAACTCGCCGGCTTCTTACACGCTGGCGAGTAGCTTGTAAACTCGCCCCGTGTGAACGGGCCTTAAGTTACAGTCAGAACAAACTTATTCAAATATCAAAACAATATTCTTTCCTTCTTTACATTTTTTAAGATTAAGTTGTTCGAAGGAAAATTGTAGAACGTCATATAAACTTTTGATTATTTATCATGGCAAAATCTGCAAAAAGCCCTCAAATAAGTAGAATAAATACTAAATAGTTTGGATGTAACAGTCTGTCCTGAGATCAGATGACTCATTTACCACAAAGATGATAGAAAATTGACAAAAAAAATGAACAAGGCTGGCTAGATGTTCTTAGAAATTAATTATTAAAACCTTCCCTTGGCAACAACCTCTCAGCCTCCCTTAACATTACACCCTAGCTGTGCCTACACTATTTAATAACTTTAAATGCTGATCATATTGCAAATGTGGAAGGATATTTATATAATCTATTTAAAACATTAATAAGGGATAAGAAAAATTAAAAATCAAACAACGATTAGGAAATGTGCAAAAATCTGCATTTGATTTTATAATCGTCATTAGCATTTTTATTTCTTTACTAGGGGAACAGTCCAAAGCCTTGTCTTGTTACTATCTAACGTCAATTTTTTGTTGAACCCAATGGTCAAGGAAAGCTAAGTTCAATCTCAAACCTTTAAAATGTTATTTATTTTTCTCAGGATTAAACTAGTGACTCTCAAACAACAAGCAAAAACACAATTGGGTGAGCCCTACAGTTACTCAGCTACCTACAGTAGATAAACTTATGAACAGAAAGTCGCCAGGATCCTTGGGATTAGCTTTATCACAAATCTTACTTACCAAAACTCAGAACTCGTCATGAAAGCTTTTGGCAGTGTCAACCATTTTGCTGCCCAGAAATAGGTCCATCTTGCTGAGTACTTCTGATAGGCTGAGTTTTCCATCGTGGTCGATGTCTGACAGCGCCACTAGGGTCTCTGCCTCCTCCCGCGCGTGTCTCGGGTGTTTGGGGTCCATGTACATCTACGATATTGACAAATGGGGTCACTTTCATTTCTTCCCAATAACACAATCGTTTAAGAGCATGTAGCTCAAATTTCATCTTACACAACCTACTTTATGTAGAAGGACTGGCCAATGAACTAAGCTTAATACAAAACTAAAAGTAGCAGAATTATAATCAATAAAACCCCACAATAGTGCTCTAACAAACTCAAGACCTTTTAAAACTCTGTTTTAAAAAGCTAGACTTCTATCTCTACTGGATGGATCTGGTGATGGATGAAAGTTAAAATGTTCATAGTATTATGAAGAAGGTAAATTATACAGTATTGAGTATACTACACTATACACTTTCCTAATGGGAGTCCTGTTGTCATTAATACCAGCACTTGATTGCACAAAAATGAGGAAAACCATACAAGTACACTTAATACAATAAGGGTTTTCTCTGTGTTATATCCCTATTCCAGGGGCGGGCGTTTCGGCCAGGGGGCACCGTGGGTGCCATGGTAAACGTAATACAACAAAATTGAGAAAATTAGGTTGGATGTGCATTTAAAGTACTTTGGAAAGTTATATATAACTGAGTTTTGAATATTCGTATTTAACTAATCTTAAATGTCACTTTATATATTTGCAAGGTTTTTCCAAGATAAATATTTTATGAAAATTGAGTAGTTGGATTTGCTTGTATACTATTTTTAGTTTAGCAATAATAGCCTAATATTGAACCCCACTGTGTAGTTGAAGGCCTTGTCCCAACTTAATTATCTTAATATAAATCAATATTGCAATGTCTTATTTCACCCGACCGGCCGACGTCTGACCTTGGGTCTCTGACTATGACTCATGGTGGAGACAATGACTTCAAATATGCACGTGTTGACGTGTCACCAACAAGTATAGGAAAGCGTCTTTATTACAATACCGGTATAGCAAATGAACATTGTAAAAACTGTTTAGACAACACTACATAAACATAAACTAACAAATATAAAAGCAGAATCTATGGCTCACCACTATTTCTTTCCTGTCGGCTTTACCATCGTGGTCAATGTCTAGGAAACTGCGGAACTCAGCTCTACGCTCCGTCTCTCCCTGAGACAACAACACCTCTCCCCCTTCCCCCACCTGAAGACGAGCAAACTCTTCTTCTGTCAGCAACTCATCACCATCACGATCTGTAAAAACTAATGACTGAGAAACCATGGTCTCAACTCGCAACTGTGTTTCCAAAACATTAAAACCTACAGCATAAAAGCTGTTGTATCCTTGTTTATCTACAACATTTAGAACCAAATAAAAATTTGTTTTTTAACTGAAACAAAGTTGCATATGTCTTCAGAATAATAAAACTACAAGACATGTGACATACTAGACATATCAGTATATGCTCAAGCTGTGAATAATTTGTAAGTTTGGCATAGCTTTCACATTAATTCTAGTCTTGTAAACAGGTTATGCTAGCAAATGCTGAAGCTATGATCCAAATCCATCCTATAATCAAGCTTATTTGCTACCAGCAAACTAGAGCTGGTTGTAGGTATATATTTACAAAAACGATTTCAATGATAAAGAAGAAAAAAATACAAATTGCAAGATCTAGTGACTGGTGAGCGAATTTAATAAATTTGTCTTTAGCCTTTTGTTATGTAGGACTAACTAACCAAAAGAGTAAAAAATGTTTGAACTACATTCATAAATACACAGCATTAATAAAGGATTGTATTGCATAGATTTAGCAATGTAGGTAAATAAAATAATGTTAAAATAAGAAACATAATGTACTTGTTAGTTCTTATTTCTGTGACTCTATTCATGTATGTATGTACAGTTTGAATAAAGATGATTTGATTTATGTGTAAAGGCAAGTTTTAACAGATTTACGAACATCATAGTCAGAATGTAACTAAATGAAGAAATACTTAACAGCTGCTAATGTACATGATGTAAACAGAATTAAGTCTCTTTCAATTGTTACCACAGTCATTTTTTTAATCCTCGATTTACACTTACCCAGCTTATCCAGAAGTTCATCTACCAGAGCCAATATGGTCACATGACTAGACTCAGGGTGGCGGAATGCCAGAAATTCGTCCAACGTCAGTGAATCTGGATCTGACCTTGCAGCTTCCGACCATGACGCTTTATCTCTTGCAATGATTTCTGTAATCATTTCTCCATCAAACTAAAACCTCAACAAACTTAGACAACAACATTTTGAATTAAGTCCAGCAAACTTGACAAATAATAGCCCGACAGTCAGGATTCCGCTCTGATCCCATAAAGATGTTTTTAGCACTTAGCCTTACACCAGTATTAATTACGACCCTGTGGTCAAAATTGTTGAGGATCATCAGATCAGAAATGGGTAGTTTCAATCTGTTATACAGTAGGCTACATTGCTATTTGTACTATGAACTCACGGGCAAAAAATTAGTAAAAAGTAAAAAAAAAATGAAACCGAATTATGCATACCTGACAACTATTTAATAGTCAATAGCCTAGCTAGTTAACCAGTCAGCACCATAATCTTACAATTAATGGGAAAAATAAAAATACATCATGTACAGTCTTTTCTTTACCATGTCAAATTTGTCTACGGTATTCCAATATTATGGTGTTGTAAATGTATATAGATGAAAAAAATTTATAAATATAGCCTACTAGCCTATACAGTCTAACCTTGATATAACAAACCTCAATACAATGAACCTCAATATAACAAACTCCTTGATATAACCAATTATTTTACATCCCCTAGAACTCTCAATGAGACACAATGTATTTTGTACCTCTGAATAAGGAACTAACCCAATCAACAATCTTGAGTTTAGGTCTTAAGAATTTTGGACGATCCGGATAGTCACCTCAATATAGTGAATTTATCATTATCAGAACCTCTACATAGCGAATTTAACCTCTACTTAAAGAATTTTCTTTGTATTTCCCTCCACATCATTGATTTAGAAACATGACAGTTTCTTTGATGAAAATTAAATAGAAAGATGACGTCAACGCTGACAATCATCTGTTACGTTTTACACATATGTCTGCTGTGCGCTACGTCATAAAAGATTTCACTGGCTGGGGACTGATGACGACATAATTTGATTAGTAAACTGTGATTGGGTTTTAAGTGACCAAGGTGAACTGTAAAATTTGAAGAGAAACCCAAGAAGGAATAGAAGATCAAAGAGAAAGAATACCGACATTCTTCTAAAAAGAATATAAAATGGTGTTTACCATAGAGAAATAAATAAATTGTAACATTAATGGCTGGTTTACATAATTATAACAGTGTGGATATGGGTTTGTCATCTTTTTTTACCATGTTTGAATAGCCATGGTTTTTCACTATCAGTGGTCTCCCTCTTCCTCTCGCTATTATCCCGGCTTGTCGAAGTTCTACTTTACAAAAAGTAGCGTAGAAAATGCTACTTACTGTAGTTGTGCTTTAACGAGGTCAATCCTCAACCTATATTGACCGATGCTGTTTGTGAATCTGGACTAAGCGAAGTTCCTACTAATCTAACCTAAATATAACAAAAATTGTTTTAAAGAAATTCTTGATAATCTTATAACAAACATTCAGTTAGGTCCCATAGATGCGTTATACCAAGGCTAGACTGTAAAAATGGTTTTAGTTTGAATTTTTGTCCCGTTTTTTTTTTTAACCCAGCTTTTGTCAACCAACCTGGTGCTCTTAAAGTAAACATTATGCTAAGTTTAAGGGATTGTACCATTGAAGAATACTATTTTGAGAAGTTAACTTCGAATTGTGTCACTTTAAATTTTTTAATGCTGCTTGTCATGAGGTTGATTAGTTGCAGCTCTCAACACATATTAAATATATATTACGTTGATCACATACCTTTGACAGAACGTTGCAGTTCTCTATGTTTTTCATTGTGGTGATCGGCATAATCTTCCCCAAGCCCATTCTTAAGCAGAAAGTATTTATGGTACTCAGCCCAAGAAACAACACCTGTTAAACATTCAAAAGATACTTAATTAGTTACCGAATGTCTTATAATGACATTGTTTCTACAATGCAGAGTAAGTTCTCCCTGATTGATAGGTCTAACTTTTTAATTTTCTAGATAAGTAAATACATTAGATGTGGTGTTAGCCAAGTGGTTAGCGCCTCTGGCTTTAGTGCGGGAGGGACAGGTTTAATTTCAGCACATCTACAAAACACGGCTTGCCTGAAATCCTTATGGTGCTGTACACAGTGCCGTATTTACCACTAAGCCGATTTGGCCGCGTTCTAGGGCCGCAAGCAAAAGGGGGCCGCAGAGGATTGAGAAAACATTTTTTTAGAAAACAAATAATTTATTTTAAAACACCAGTTTGCTGCGATCTTAGGTGACCATAACGATGTCTCAGCGGACCGAGGGAGATGTTCACGATTTTGACTAAGCCGCAGGTGCCGGTGATGATGTCCCCGTGATTGCAGCCCACGGGAGACATTCACGATTTCGCTGCGGTCACAAGTGGCGATGATGATGTCCCCGTGATTGCGGCCCGCGGCAGATGTTCATGATTTCGCCGCGGCCCAGAGTGTTGATGATGATGTCTCCGTGATTGCGGCCCGCGGGAGATGTTAACGATTTAGCCGCGACTAAAGGTGTCAATGAGCATGTCCCCGTGATGGCTTCCCTAGTAGGATGTTTACGATTTCGGCACGGCCGCGGGTGACAATGATGTCCTCATGATCGCAGTCGACGGGAGATGTTTTTAACACAACTTTGCTGCAATCGCAAGTGTCGATGATGATGTCCCAGTGATTGAGGCCTGCGGGAGATGTTCACGATTTTACTGCGGTCACAGGTGACGGTGATGATGTCCTCCAGGCCACAGCTCACGGGATACGATCAGAATTTCGCCGTGGTCGCGAGTGTCAAGGATGATGTCCCTTTGTTGCAGCCCGCGGGGGATGTTAAATATTTTGCCGCGGTCACGGATGCCTATTATGGCTTTGACTTGTTTTAGGAGGGATGTCCATCATTTCATCCACGATCACGGGTGTCGATGATGATGTCCCCTTGATGCATAGGAGATATTCACAATTACTTCCGCGGTCACAAGGAATTTCCACCACAGGGGGAGGGCCGCTCAAGTAATTTGGTCTAGGGCCACAAGTACCCTATATCCGGCACTGGCTGTACAGTAACAATGAATACTGATACAAACTCTTTAAGAAGCGCAATGCCTTTGTAAAAAATTCAGTCTGTAAATATCTTACTTTTCAAGCGAAGCTTATTTCAGCTGTAAAATTCCAGTCTGAGCATTTATCCATAAGCATTTCGCTTCTTAAAGGGTTCGTATTCATTGACAGTAACCTCTTTTGAAAATCCCATTTTTTAAGCTTAGCCAGCTCAAGGTGAACTTAGAACCACAAGGTATGTTACTATTTATTTTTGTTTCTTTAATAGGCCTACTCCAACTAGGCCTACTAATATCTTAAAAAAACCACTCAATGTAAATAAGATTTAAAAGCTCACCATTAGCTGGGTCCCTATCAATTGATATGAACAGTCCATAATTTTCTTGGACACCCTGGTTGATGTGTTTTTGAGTTTCCAAATGTATGTATTCTGAGAGCTCCTCAATTGTCAACAGTTTGTCTCCATCCTTGTCAACTCTGAAAATAAAATTAACTAGGTACAGCTATTTACAATCATTATTAGTGAAACCGGTACTTTCCTGTTAAAGGGAACATTCATTATTATCGATGATTTCTTTTCGATATATCGATGGTATTTTGAAACGATAACTTAGCATAGAGCAAGTTTGGTTAGTTACGTTATATTAGTTTAAAATAGTTTAATTACTTACCGGTAATCCAATATATTGGATTAATAAGTTCTTAATCCTATTCTCTATACTAGCTATAACTCAATAACTCGGTTATTGAACCAAGTATAACTTATAAATATTTGCTATGTCTGTTTGTCTGTCTGTCTGTAATTTAAATGTGTTTAAAGATATTAAATTACAGATGGAATATGGATCGTAAAGGAAAACAAAAATATCAATATATCGAAAAGAAATTAGGCTAATAATGAATGTTCCTCTTAACAGGAAAGTATCGTGAAACCCAAAGAGACTACCTATATAAGCTACAATAGGGAGTCCCTTATAGGCCAGGAACACACCCACCTTTCCTCAAACGATTTTTTCACAGACATTAAACTTACCCTTGGGTTTGTGCAATACATAAAAGTAAATTGGCCATGCCACAGTAGAGTTAAAACGTCCGTGAGGGAATTAACCTGCGCATTAAGTTTTTTAATGGCCGAGAAACTTAGTGGGGCATTGCAGCTTAAGGTCCGTGAACATACTCGCCTTACAACGTATGATTTTTTACCCCCCAAAAATCCTGTTTCAGTAGTCCGATCATGATGGTTTGCAAACTTGTTTGAATAGACATAGGTATGTACACATTTGTACCAAATTTAATCAAAATTAAATTCCATTCATAGCCATTCCACCATTCTTAGCTAGTCTACTTGAGTTGCTATTTGCTAATGGTCACATACACACACATTATGTAGCCTATAGAATTTGAACAAGAGATGGTGTTATTGGCCTCTGATCCCCCCAAAAAAAAGTAAATTGGTTATACGACCTTCGGTTTAAGCTTATTCGCTAAAATGGAAATTTGCAAAACTAACTTAGCTTAACCTAATAACATGATTAAAAACACAATAAATAAGACGTTAAGTTTAATTATAATTTGTCTTAGAATCAAACTCAATTGATAACACCATGTAGTAAATATCAATATGGAAAAATCAATAACCAATTGATTTAGGCTTACTGTAGCCTATATCAAAGTGTTTACCAAATTTTTATTTGTTAAGCTATTTAACTTAGTTGAATACCTTAAACATTCTAAGAGCAATAATCAAGCAAAATATATACAACAAAGTTTACTTACAACTGCGGCATATTAACTCACTTCAGGAATATAGATGCCAGCAGTTCAGTGGGAGGAAAATTCTTCCGGTCTTCATTATTAAAATTACGTTGGAGACTATCCTTGTCCACAACATTTACACTCAAAACAACACTTTTATCTTTGTTTTGCACAATTGTCTTTTTGAATAATTTTTCTAAACTACTCTTTTCTGATGATCTCAATGGTACAGAAGAAAAATTGAGTACAAAAATAAATATTACATAGACCAATAACGGAATACATACTGAAAATCTTTGGACGGTGAACCCACAGTTAACTGGTTTGGAGAAAAATGTCATGGTAACATACACACCTTATAAATACAACAAAGTTTTTCATCAAATTGATTTGATTCCTTATGACATTCAAATTCAATGCCGATCTCAACTTCAAGTTTGCTTGTTGCTTCTTGCATAGGCCAATACTAGAATTCAAGTAGGCCTATTCATGATAGGCCATCAAATTAGGTCTGTCGGTGTATTTACTTAGCAAACAATGACACTACAGGTACTGTATTTATCTTCTTTAAATAAGTGCAATGCTAATGATATCCTTCAGTCAAGAGACAAAATGTTTCATAAAGACTTTCACTAATCAGTTAATACCTGATTTCTAAACTTTCTATTTAGACCTAAACTTAACTGTTAACTTGGAATAAGTTAACCTATAAACTTGTTTCTACATTTTAAAACAATCTCATGACACAAAATATACCTAAAAATTAAACCAAATGAATGTTCAATATAAGGTTATTAACTTAATCTTACTAATATTATAAATGTGAAAGTTTGTGTGTTTAATAAAAATACATCTAAATTGGAGATTTAAAAGCTCCTGTTATTGATGTTTACATCTTTCGAATGCAGAAGACAGTAGAGCACTAGCGGCTAGTGCCATTTAGTGCCTGCCCACCAAATCTGTTCGGGAGCGAAACTTCTATCCACTCGACGTTCTGTACCCACGAGCACCTCTGCTTCCACATGCACAGAAGGCCTTGGAACAGTTCCTGGGATAACAGCTATTTGTGTAATAAGCTTCACTGTATATCTTTATTGCACCTGTTTAGATAGTTGTTTCTTTCAACAGTTACAGTTGCGAATTGTGCATTATGATTTTGTAAAGGTAAAGGTGTTCATTCTTTACTGTTTGTTTACTTTTGACTTGAGCTGCTTGAAAATGTGTTTTATGATTATGAAAATTAAAGTGTTGTGAGTGTGCTGAAGCTGATTTGTTATCGGGTATTGACAATTAAATGTTTTGCGTGCATGAATTATTTATGAAGTTTTAAATGTTCACTTAACATATATTTTTCGGATTAATCGGATTCCTCAAGAGTGATTGTCAATAGGTTAGGTTGAGTTGTGTTTGTGTGTGAATTTGTTGGATTGCAGTTTTGGTAGTGGTAGGTGTAGGTTAATTAAGTTAGTTTTGGGCCTTTCAGTTGAGTTTAGGTCTTAGAAGTTATTGCCTTTGAAAAAGTTAAATTAATAACTTATCTATTTATAAGAGTAGGTAGGCCTAAGTTTACCTTAACCATACTCAATGCCTTAAATTAGACCACCACTACCAACACCAAAACTGTAATCTAAATTCACACACAAACCCAACCTAACCTCTCTTCTTGAGGAATCCGAAAAATACAGTTTAAGTGAACATTTAACACTTCATAAATAATTCATGCACGCAAAACATTTAATTGTCAATATACCTAATATCAAATAGGCTTCAGCACACTCACAACACTTTAATTTTCATAATCATAAAACACATTTTCAAGCAGCTCAAGTCAAAAGTAAACAAACAGTAAAGAATAAACACCTTTACCTTTACAAATTACAAAATCATAATGCACAGTTCGCAACTGCAACTGCTGAAAGAAACAACTATCTAAACAGGTGCAATAAAGATATACAGTGAAGCTTATTACACAAATAGCTGTTATCCCAGGAACTGTTCCAAGGCCTTCTGTGCATGTGGAAGCTGAGTTGCTCGTGGGTACAGAACGTCGAGTGGATAGAAGTTTCGCTCCCGAACAGATTTGGTGGTCAGGCACTAGCCGCTAGTCAGAAGAGCAGCAGCAGAAAAGCAGCCCAACGATTATTGACTGATTGCAGAGCAGACAAACCATACAACAAAAAATAGTAATATAAGCTTCATAGAGTAATCTGGAGTAATCTGTAATATAAGCTTCATAGAGTAATCTGGAGTAATCTGACTAATTCGTCAGTGGTTTTATACACAAGTAAAAACATAAATAATTGTGGAACAATTTTGCCAACTACTATCAGACTAACTATTATACTACTACTATAATACTAGACTAACTACACACTACACACTACACACTACACACTACTGGTACTATCATAGACTAACCAACACAAGGGAGTATGTTTTATCTATGGTACTATCGTAGTGTATCACGGCCGCCTTTAACTCCAGGCCGCGGCCTTCGAAGTGGCAACGTCGCAAGTGGTGTTGTAACAGCTGTTTTGTACTATCATAGACTAACCAACACAAGGGAGTATGTTTTATCTATGGTACTATCGTAGTGTATCACGGCCGCCTTTAACTCCAGGCCGCGGCCTTCGAAGTGGCAACGTCGCAAGTGGTGTTGTAACAGCTGTTTTGTTTGGAAGCAGCTAATAGTATTTGTGTATTTACGAAAGATTGGTTACTGGACTATGACAATATTGATTCCGCTTAAAATGTACAGATAAAGATTTTTGATTATTATTGTTTCGATTTTCAATTCTGTATGTTTTATTTTCAATATTTTAATAAATTCATGTTCACAAATTTAAATTTAAATCTATGAAGTACGAATTAACGAGCTTATGTCACCTGTCTGTCATGTTATCTTATGGGACGTGTCACTAAACAACACCACTTGTGACGTTGCCAATTCTACCAGGGCACGGCCTGTAGTTAAAGGTGGCCGTGAGTGTATCTATATATTATATAAAAGGCAAAGCCCTCACTGACTGATTGACTGACTCACTCATCACTAATTCTCCCACTTGCCACTTACCTAGAGGGCTGAAATTTGGTACACTGATTCTTTAGGCATTAAATAGGAAAACTAAGTGGTTTTTATTCTGATCGGACTCTCGGGCTCCGCCCCAGTGGGTCTGGAGTTTCCCATGTTAACCTAATGAGTACTCATATTTAAATGGAATTAATGAATATTGAACAGCTGTTTCAATTAAACGAGTTGGTTCTGTTCTATAATGTATAATAGCATTAAGGATTACCAACAGAGTGCAGCACTATTATTTTTTTAAATATTTGACAACAGCTAATTTGAAACCAAAAAGTGAGTGAGCGTAGCGAACGAACCTCAACCCGGAGGCGAGGTAGCGTAGCGAACGAGCTAACCTGAAGGCAAGTGAGCGCAACGAACGAGCTCCAACCGTAAAGGTGAGTGAGCGTAGCGAAGGAACTTCAACCAGGACGTGTGAGCGCAGCGAGCGAGCTCCAACCTAAAGGTGAGTGAGCGTAGTGAACGAACTTCAACCAGGACGTGATTGAGCCATGCGAACGAGCTCACATATGAAGTTAAACGGGGCAAAGCCCGAGGGTACAGCTAGTAGTAATACAAAAATAATTTTTATGGGTCAATAAGGTGGCGAGAAGATTCCACGAGGTGCGTGAGGTGGACTAATATTATGTACTTACTAGAGCTCGCCCATAGAGAGATGGCGATGGCTCGTCCCGTGGTCGAAAACTAGAAAACTCGACCAAAAGTATGTAATGTGCAATACTCACTATTTTCACCCCCACGCTGTAAATAAAACATGTGATTGGAATCTCTTCCATTTGTTTGATTTTCCTTTAGCGAATTTCTCATACCTATCGGGAATAAGCTAGTTATATTTTGTTGTTATTTCGTCACCAACATGGCAACCCATAAGGCCCATGTTAAATTTTTTTTTAATTTAATAGTACTAATGGTCGTTCAGTGGTCGAAAACTCAACCAAAACTATGTTAATGTACACGCATTGACTATTGGATACTGAAGTAGACATTCCATCTATATGGACCAGCTGTCGCCATTTTTATTTTATTAAAAAACATGTAGTTGTGTGAGCAAGTCACAAAATGTGTGTCTAAAATTCTATTTTCCCCCTATTTTTTGTTGCTGACAAAGTAGATGGGTAATAACAGTTGCTATAATGAGTTCATAATGAGTCATTCAAAAAGTTTGATTTGGTAAAAAGGATCGTGTAATCGACAGAAATTATTCATTTTAGATCAGAGAAATCTGTTGGTGGCTCACATAAACTACAAAGAATTTAATTAAAAAACTGGCGACAACTTTAACATGAGGATGGAATGTCTAGTTGTAAGTCAAAGGTACAGACTTCTCTAATTTAACCCAACGCTGTAAATAAAACATGTGATAGTAAATTCTTACATTTGTTTTGATTGTCTGTTTATATTGCGTGTTGTTATTTTGTCACCAGCATGGCAACCCATAAAGCCCATGTTAATTTTTTTAAATTTCAAATTCACTTTTTATGTGCTTATTTTACCCTATTTTAACCCTACTTTCATTTTTAAAGGGATTCTGCACATCTACAGTATAATATCTCTAGGTTGTAGGCCTTTATATTTTAAGGTAAGATATGAGCTTTCACATTACGTTGGAGATAAGTTTACTACTTAAGAAATTTGGAACAAATAATACCAATTTAGTAAGATTGAAACTTTTGTTTTACACTTGCCTGATGATTATTCAAGAATAAATCTAAATTGTAAAACAAAGAGCACCACAATTTCCACAATCCACAATCCACAATTTTGTGATTTATTTAAAAAATAAGTAAATTCGAAAATCCATTGATATCCTTCAGCCAAGAAACAAAATGTTTCAAAAAGAAAAAATAATGATTTGTCTATTTTATCGTTGTGATAGAAGCTCCTTATGAAGAATGGTCCGAATTTTTGTATATTAGTGAGAAATGTTCCGTCATTGAAAAAATATTTAGCTATCACGATTTGGTGAAATTTTCATATTTATCATTTTACTAGCAAAAATCTTGCAAAGGGAACACCTATTACCGTGTTTTATATTTTATTACAGCCACCAAGTAGAGCGTAACAATTTTACATTGACGCATATAGCTACACAGAAAATCCCCCAAAAATAAAACTGGTAAAATTTGCTTGTTTAAGAACATTGTATTTTGATCAAATTTGGCAAATTTATTTATTTCATCTTCTAATATTTTAAACATTTGATCAAAAACACTTTTCACTCTTTCCGTAACAACAAACCTATAAGTACTCGTTAAATTTAATGTTATTTGATTTGGGAAAATAAGTATGACTTGGTTATGGAAATATTTTAGTTAAAATTCAATCAGACAAATTGAAATTCGCGTAGTCTGTGGTTTGCTGTGTCGAGGGTATTTTTATATCAGAACATTTCCTCAGCTTTTATGTTTAGGCTAATTATTGTGGATTTTTTCCATTTCGTGAACCTGGTTCTCATGTTTTATAATTTTCAAAGACGGCAGAACTGACTACATTACTGGCAAATTCGGTTTAAGCGGTCAACTAAACAATTTGATTCTGTGGTAATCAATAGCATTAAAAAGTTAATAGGTTTACCAACAGGGTGCAGCACTATTATTTTT